GATAAGTCAAGTTCCTTGGATCATGATCCCCTCAGTGACATAAAGGTACCTTCCTTGAGGGATATTAATCAGCAGTTATAAGAGGAACAGCAGTTTTATATGAAGGCAAGATCTTTGAAACATATAATCTAATTCACAATATATAGAAGCTCCTTGCTTTACGATGGTTCGAATTACGATATTTCAGCTTTACAGTGGTGCAAAGTTTTCCTCTCCAGCGCCATCATCCAGTAGTTAATGTTAGTTCTATGCTTCACAACATTGTTCAGGCCTGGTGTGCTTTTAGTTGACTACATTAATAGTGAGTACCTGTACTACTTATCACTACACATACTGTACCTTTATAATCCTTATGTAATCAAGTCAGTGTACCATAAAACTTTTTTTTTTATATTATACAGTATTATACATTTATTGATAGGATAAATTTGTATTCATTTATTTACTTTTCGGTACTGGTATTTAGTTATTGTAATTATTTGAGTGACTTATTTGTTTATTGTATCATATTCATATTCGACTTAAGATATTTTCAACTTACGATGGGTTCATCAGAATGTAACCCCCATCATAAGTCAAGGAGCACCTGTATCGTATTAGAACCTGTGATATACTTCAGAACCTCCTTCCTTGCCAACTGGAGAAAACAGGGAAAAGGTAATCTCTGATACATTATGAGCCGGAACAATCACAGAGAAGCTCTGAAACCATCTGAGTTGAATCCAAGTCTGAACAAACATATTTGACAGCTGCTTGAAATGCATTGCATAACTGGGTACTTTTCCATGTAAGAAAATATTATTTTAAAACAGTACCTGTAATATTATGTATCTTATAGGAAAATACAGTTTTTTTATATCTTAGAGAAACATGTTTTTCTTTTTGCAGAATTACCTGTGATCTAATCACTCAAAGTCCTCATTGTACATAGTCAGAATTGATGCTACACTTATAGCATAGTGCACCAGGAACATAGAGCTTATACTATTGTTAAATTTTTTTTTTTTTTTTTTAACACATCGGCCAATTCCCACCAAGGCAGGGTGGCCTGAAAAAGAAAAACTTTCATCATTCACTCCATCACTGTCTTGCCAGAGGGTGCTTTACATTACAGTTATAAAACTGCAACATCAACACCCCTCCTTCAGAGTACAGACACTGTACTTTCCATCTCCAGGACTCAAGTCCAGCTGCCAGTTTCCCTGAATCCCTTCATAAATGTTACTTTGCTCACACTCCAACAGTACATCAAGTATTAAAAACCATTTTTCTCCATTCACTCCTATCAAATATGTTCATGCATGCTTGCTGGAAGTCCAAACCCCTCTCACACAAAACCTCCTTTACCCCCTCCTGTTTTATAAGCTTTTTGGTCGTGCTTGCAGAGCGGGGTTCAATGATAAGATCTTCGGAGGCTTCTTACTTTATTTGCAGTATCTGGGGTACACAGGCAGTGTGTTACGTGCCCATGGCCCGGGAGGGCCATGCCCATGAGGGAGAGAGGAGTAGGACCTGTTGTCTGAGTCTAGGCCGCTGAGTGAGTGAGGCATACTGAAGTGGTAGGCCTATAGGTGGCAGCACCAGCATGGCACGAAATATGAACTCAGCTGGCAGACAGCATAGGCTGTCTGTGCAGACAGTACAGGCTGTCTACACTCCCTCCAACCCTTCCTAGGCCAACCCCTACCCCACCTTCCCTCCACTACAGATTTATACACTCTTGAAGTCATTCTGTTTTGTTCCATTCTCTCTACATGTCCGAACCACCTCAACAACCCCTCCTCGGCCCTCTAGATAGTAGTTTTGGTAACCCCACACCTTCTCCTAATTTCCAAACTACGAATTCTTTGCATTATATTCACACCACACATTGCCCTCAGACATGACATCTCTACTGCCTCCAGCTTTCTCCTTGTTGCAACATTCATTACCCATGCTTCACACCTATACAAGAGTGTTGGTACAACTATACTCTCATACATTCCCCTCTTTGCTTTCATGGACAAAGTTCTTTGTCTCCACAGACTCCTAAGTGCACCACTCACCCTTTTCCCCTCGTCAATTCTATGATTCACCTCATCCTTCATAGACCCATCTGCTGACATGTCCACTCCTAAATATCTGAGTACATTCACCTCCTCCATATTCTCTCCCTCCAATCTGATATCCAATCTTTCATCACCTAATCTTTTTGTTATCCTCATCACCTTACTCTTTCCTATATTCACTTTTAATTTTCCTCTTTTACATACCCTACCAAATTTATCCACCAACCTCTGCAACTTCTCTTCAGAATCTCCCAAGAGCACAGTGTCATCAGCAAAGAGCAACTGTGACAACTCCCACTTTGTGTTTGATTCTTTATCTTTTAACTCCACACCTCTTGCCAAGACCCTCGCATTCACTTCTCTTACAACCCCATCTATAAATATATTGAACAACCATGGTGACATTACACATCCTTGTCTAAGGCCTACTTTTACTGGGAAATAATCTCCCTCTTTCCTACATACCCTAACCTGAGCCTCACTATCCTCATAAAAACTCTTAACTGCTTTTAGTAACCTACCTCCTATACCATACACCTGCAACATCTCCCACATTGCACCCCTATCCACCCTGTCATATGCCTTTTCCAAATCCATAAATGCCACAAAAACCTCTCTACCTTTATCTAAATACTGTTCACCTATATGTTTCACTGTAAACACCTGGTCCACACACCCCCTACCTTTCATAAAGCCTCCTTGTTCATCTGCTATCCTACTCTCCATCTCACTCTTAATTCTTTCAATAATAACTCTACCATACACTTTACCAGGTATACTCAACAGACTTATTCCCCTATAATTTTTGCACTCTCTTTTATCCCCTTTGCCTTTATACAAAGGAACTATGCATGCTCTCTGCCAATCCCTAGGTACCTTACCCTTTTCCATACATTTATTAAATAATAGCACCAACCACTCCAAAACTATATCCCCACCTGCTTTTAACATTCTATCTTTATCCCATCAGTCCCAGCTGCCTCACCCCCCTTTCATTCTACCCACTGCCTCACGAACTTCTCCCACACTCACAACTGGCTCTTCCTCATTCCTACAAGATGTTTTTCCTCCTTGCCCTATACACGAAATCACAGCTTCCCTATCTTCGTCAACATTTAAAAATTCCTCAAAATATTCCCTCCATCTTCCCAATATCTCTAACTCCTCATTTAATAACTCTCCTCTCCTATTTTTAACTGTCAAATCCATTTGTTTCCTAGGGTTCCTCAACTTATTAATCTCACTCCAAAACTTGTTCTTATTTTCAACAAAATTTGTTGCTAACATCTTACCCACTCTCTCATTTGGTCTCTTTTTACATTGCTTCACCACTCTCTTAACATCCTTTTTCTCTCCTTACCTTCCCTCCTTGCATCACTTTTACTTTGTACAAACCTTTTATGAAACTTTTTCTCTTTTACTTTTTCCTTACATCATCATTCCCCCAGTGCTTTCTTCCCCCCGCACCCATTTCCTGTAACCAAAACTTCTGCTGAAACCAAACCCCTACTTTTTTAAAACCCAAACCCATACATCTTTGACCCCCATTGCCTGTATCCACTTCTCATCTTCCCCCAGTAGTTGTTTATATCTTACTCAACGCCCCTCTAACTGTCACCTCTCTTTTACTTGCTGCTTCTATTTTCCTTGCCCCCATCTACCTTTTACTCTCACTGTAGCTAAACTAGAAAGGATCTGAAAAACTGGGGCCCTCTATAAAACTGTCACCTGAAGTCTCTCAAAAATCTTTTATCTACCAATAATAGTCCAAAAAAAACTACTGTCTTAATTTTTCATTATCTTTGTATATTATTTATCCTCTTTTTCAAAAATATGTATTACCTATAACAAACCCCCCTTTTATAAAAAGTTCAATAAAATTTATCATTGACACCTGGCACCTCGACTTCCTACCACACCCCTTAAATGTTTCTCCTATTTTAGATTTGGGTCCCCTACCACAGTTACTTTTCTACTTGGTTAAAAAATTTTTTCCTTACATTCGTTAAATCCCCCCAAAATTTTCCCCTCTCACTCTCTCTCTCTCTCCTCTACACTCCTCTCTTCTCCAGGTCATACACCTTATGACTCACTTTTCACTCCGCCCCTTTTTTTTAATTTAAACATAACCCTTAAAATTTTAAAAATTTATATTCCCTCTTCTCCTTCCGAAAATGGTCCTTCAACTTAGACCCTTCCCTTGGGGCTCAACTCCCCCAGATACTCCTGATTAAAAGCCATTTATTTTTCCCCACTGAAAAAAACGCCTACCCCCCCTTTAGCTTTGTTTCGCTTAGGACCAGGGCATCCACCTTCTTTTCATTCATAACAAAAGAATCACTCTTTCTTATCCCCGTGTACATCCACGCACATTCAGGGATCCCAGTTTTAAAAAGTTTTTCTTTTTTCATTTTTATAAATGTGTACAGGAGAAAAGGGGTTTCAGCCCCTTGCTTCGGCATTTTAGTCGCCTCATACGACCCGCAGGTTTTCAAGGTAGATTCTTTTCCACTTCCCAAAGGACAATAGAGAGGGGAAAAAAAAAAAGAACAGAGCTATTAAGAAAAAAAAAAACCCTGTGTGTGTTGTATATAAGGGACATTGCATGTGCATGCCTGTGTGTTTTTACCTAAAATGAAGGGATAGCAAGATATACTTGTTTTCCAGCATGTTTTGAGCAGAAAAAAGAGCCAGCAATCCTCCCCATGTAAAAAAAAGTTACAGATTTTGTTTCATGTCACCTGGCAGGGCGGTGACCTCCCCGGGTGGTTGGTCTACCCAAACCGCACCCATTATTTCAAAGAATAAATGATAATTTCCATTGGCCACTAGCCACTTTGGTAACAGTTTTGATGTTTATCTTTTTAAAACATCATAAAAAATTATATAATACATGCAATTTATGTCTTGTTTATTTTACTTATTATAACATATTTTTGCATTATTTAACAGCCTGTGCATGAGCGAAAACTTTGACCTTCGTTATCGACTGTCCAAGACGTCCACAGCTGAGGAGATGGTTGCTGTGGTAGAGGATCTCAGAGACCGGATGATGCCCTATAATACTGGCAAGAAGCCCTGGACCCCAGAGCCAGGAAGTGAGCAGGCACGTTTACCTATGCCTCCCTGGCTGTGTCAGCCCTATGTTCGTATCCCTCCTGAGGAACACCTTAAGAAGATCCAGGAGAGTCAGAAACGTTCACTGGAAAAACAACAAGAGGAAGCTGTGATAGACAAAAATGATGGGTATATTTGCACATTCAGTACTCGCCAGTATTTTAACATTTATTGTTTATTTATAATGGAATAAAAAATGCATACTTCTGTAAATTTCCATCCATAAGTAGTCCTTGGTCATAAATCAAGGGGTATACATTCTTCCAAAGGATTTACATTATTGTTTTCATTATTTCAAAACTACAGTTGGGCTCCAACTTACTATGTTAATGTGTTTCTGAAAATTCATTGAAAGTTAAAGGTTTGTAATCAGAACCTTTTTTCCCACAGAAACCCACTTTATAATCAGAGATGCATTTCTGAGCCATAATATTTCGTCTAATTTCATCCATTTTTTAACTATGAATATTTCCTCAATATTTAACCCTTTGACTGTCGCGGTTGTATATATACCATATACCGTGTTATCTATACGCATAAATTCTAGCGGCTTCAAATCAAGCAGGAGAAAGCTGGTAGGCCCACATGTGAGAGAATGGGTCTCCATGGTCAGTGTGCACCATATAAAAAAAATCGGGGAGCCAGTGGTGCATTGTGGGAATACCATTTCAGTCGTCCTTTTTCAGCATGTCTAGCGGAATTGGATCTGTGCTCCAGTTTCCCGAATTAAGCCTGAATGCCTTCCACATCCCCCCCCCCAGGCGCTGTATAATCCTCCGGGTTTAGCGCTTCCCCCTTGATTATAATAATAATAATTCTCTTCCCAAGTGATGCTCTAACACAGATGGAAGTGTCAGTGAAGATCAATTTCATGATTTCGAGGAGTTTGAGACCAAAAGCAATGGAGGAGGAAGAAGAGGAGGAGGAGGAAGAAGAGGAGGAGGAAGGAAGGAAGGAGGAAGAGGAAGGAGGGAGGAGGAGGAAGGAGGGAGGAGGATGAAGGAGGGAGGAGGAGGAAGGAGGGAGGAGGAGGTAGGAGGGAGGAGGAGGAAGGAGGAGGGAGGAGGAAGGAGGAGGAGGAGGAGGAAGAATAGGAAGAAGAGGAATAATAATAATAATAATAATACCTAATAATAATAATATGTAATAATATGTTCCCTTGAGGCATGAAAACAGTTCACCCCATGACAGTGACAAGATAAGGGGAGATAACATCTGATAAGAGCTGACCTTTGATGAGCGTAAACGAGGGTGGAGGGAGGGGGGCAGCTGTCTATCTGTCTATGAGCCAGGAGGAGGAGGAGGAGGAGGAGAAGGAGAAGGAGGAGGAGAAGGAGAAGAAGGAGAAGGAGGAGGAGGAGGAGAAGGAGAAGAAGGAGGAGGAGAAGGAGAAGAAGGAGGAGGAGGAGGAGAAGGAGAAGAAGGAGGAGGAGAAGGAGAAGAAGGAGGAGGAGAAGGAGAAGGAGGAGGAGGAGAAGGAGGAGGAGGAGAAGGAGGAGGAGGAGAAGGAGAAGAAGGAGGAGGAGAAGGAGAAGAAGGAGAAGGAGAAGAAGAAGAAGGAGGAGAAGGAGAAGGAGGAGGAGGAGGAGGAGAAGGAGGAGAGCCACAAGACTGTGTCATCATCACGTTTACTCACATCTTCAAGCAGAGTATAGCACTTTGTCTGGATTTTTTGGGTTATCCTAGGTAATTTACAATATGTATACTTGTATTTATGTGTACCTGTGAGACAGAGATAGACAGACAGAGAGAAAGAGAGAGACAGATTGAAAGAGATAGAATGAGGGAGAAAGATAATTAGATAGAATGGAGGGGAAGCAGCATCCGACCCCATTGTTTTGACAGGCGGGAGGGGGAGTGAGTAATGAGACAATATGTCATTTTGACAGCTGCCGACTCCTGACTCAAAACAATTATAAGCCACACACTCGCACCCAAGACAAGCTTGCTGAATGGTGATAATAGCAGTTTTATGAAAGTATCTAGTGACTATATATGTGTATATATATTATAGAAACCAGAAGCAAGAAGGGAAGGCAGGAATGAAGGAAGGAAAAAAGTAAGGAAGAGCAGATGAAGGAATGTAGGAAGAGAGGTGGAATGCCCTCCAGGTAGCCTCCAGGTAGGAAAGGAATGAAGGAAATTAGGAAGGAAGGAATGATGACACACGACCATTTACCTAGGATAACTACATAACACAACTACCTGCTAATACTTTGAAGACAACTGCTCAGACGAGGTATTTTGTCTTTGCACATAAAAAAAAACTTCCACAAAAATGCACACACTGATTTTATGTGTGAGGAGTGTAAAACACCATTGTGTATGACACCATGTTTTATGTTTGAGAGTGTAAAACACCACTGTGTATGACACCATGTTTTATGTGTGAGAGTGTAAAACACCATTGTGTATGACACCATGTTTTATGTGTGAGAGTGTAAAACACCATTGTGTATGACACCATGTTTTATGTGTGAGGAGTGTAAAACACCACTGTGTATGACACCATGTTTTATGTGTGAGGAGTGTAAAACACCATTGTGTATGACGCCATGTTTTATGTGTGAGGAGTGTAAAACACCATTGTGTATGACACCATGTTTTATGTGTGAGAGTGTAAAACACCACTGTGTATGACACCATGTTTTATGTGTGAGGAGTGTAAAACACCACTGTGTATGACACCATGTTTTATGTGTGAGGAGTGTAAAACACCACTGTGTATGACCATGTTTTATGTGTGAGGAGTGCAAAACACCACTGTGTATGACACCATGTTTTATGTTTGAGGAGTATAAAACACCACTGTGTATGACACCATGTTTCACAGAGTTCCACAAGCTGCAGAACTTCTAGGAATATGTTCAGTGACTGTATATTGGTATATATATTATAGAACAATAGTAATAAAAAAATTTTTGTATTGTTTGTTTTTGTAAACAAGTTTTGTAAACAATATATTGACAATTATGTTTGTGTGCTTATTGTGTTGTATACAACAAGTGTATATATGTACACTGCACCTTACTTTGCTTATTGTGTTGTATACAACGAGTGTCTCACAGGCCACATAAGTTATGTGAAAAAATAAAATAGTGAAAAAAAACAACAAACCTTCAAATACAAGTAAACTAAAGTTTACCGGGTGAGCAGCAGTCGCCGCTGTTGCCATACGCGGCTCATTTTCTGCAAACTTCATGCCTCTATATCTGGGTAAGTACTGATGGGAAAAATTTTTTTTTTGGGACTAAAACAATCAGAAAAATAATCTTAATATTTTCATAAGAAAAAATAATTTTTGTTTTTTCGAATATTTTGCGACACCAGGAGACACTTCAGGATTGGGCCTTTCGACAGTCAAAGGGTTAATATTCGGTACTGTTAATTATTAACTTACGAATAGTTTTAAATGTTGTTTAGTTAATTTATACATGTTAATTAAACATAAAACAGTATACAGTACAGTACATATATGTAGGAGCAGGTAACAGGTGGAAGAGAGGGAGGGACAAGGAGAAGAGGGGTACAGGGGAGAGGAGAAGGGGTGTACAGTAAGAAAGGTAGCTAATGAACAAATGATGCAACTACAAAAGAATGACATTATTTCAAACTGATTCAGTGATCTTCAGTTTTGTAGAATGATTGAATAGAGATGGTGAAGATACAGGAAGTTACTTAATTACAATAGAAATACAGTGAGACAAGATATGTTACCAGTTTTCTATGAGAGTTGAAGGACAACATTGGATGAGCTGGTTCTGTTTGACATGGCGTATTGCTGTTTTACTTAGGTTTGGGAGATGAGGTACTTTTTAACAATAGCTCTGAAATGATTGGCAGACAGGGAACCATTCAATGTTTTAGGGTATGAATTACAGATCTTTGGACCTTTTATGCTCACTGAGTTTTGGCATAGGTTGAATCGGACATGGGTGATGTCAAAGAGAGTTTTGTGTCTTGTGTTATACCTGTGTTCTGTTGTAACTATCAAGGAAAAGTTTCAGAGAAGAATTTGTATTGAAATTGAATGTTCTACATATATTTAGTGGGCACAGTATTATTTCTGCACATTTTGTATATTTAGTAAGTTCAAGCTTTTGAAGAGTGGGGGATTGTGTTGTCTGGCTTTTAATTGGGTTGTTAATGATTTTAGGTGATTTGGTGTAGTAGATCCCCAGGCACAAATATTATAGGTGAGGTAAGGGTAGTAAATAAAATAGAATAAAAGCAATTATTTCACCAATATATATACAGTAGGGCCCCACTTACATGGCAGGTTAGGTTCCAAGCTACCGCTACAAAGCAAAATACCATTTTTTCCACTTATAAATGCATACAAATGCTAGATCATCAGGCACAAGGATACTTCTTAAAAACCACCTACTCACTGAAAACTAAATACTCAGTACTTAACTTTACCTACAAAGCTACCAAATCACTCTCCACTAGGAGGCCTGGTCACAGACCGGGCCGCGGGGGCGTTGACCCCCGGAACTCTCTCCAGGTAAACTCTCCAGGTAAACTACCTCAAAATATCATTGCTCACTGTTTTACTCCCCTAGCCTCAGAATCCCATAAGTAAATGCTCTAAGTACAATAAATTCTCATACTTTAGAGGAGAGAGAGAGATTTTGGGAAATGTTGAGTGAATGCATGGGGAGTTTTGAACCAAGTGTGAGAGTAATGGTGGTTGGGGATTTCAATGCTGAAGTGGGCAAAAATGTTGTGGAGGAAGTAGTAGGTAAATTTGGGGTGCCAGGGGTAAATGAAAATTGGGAGCCTTTAATTGAGCTATGTGTAGAAAGAGGTTTAGTAATAAGTAATACATATTTCATGAAGAAGAGGATAGATAAATATACAAGGTATGATATAGCACGTAATGAAAGTAGTTTGTTAGATTATGTATTGGTGGATAAAAGGTTGATGGGTAGGCTCCAGGATGTACACGTTTATAGAGGGGCAACTGATATATCGGATCATTATCTAGTTGTAGCTACAGTTAGAGTAAGAGGTAGATGGGAAGAGGAAAATGGCAACAACAAGCAAGAAGGAGGTGAAAGTGTATAAACTAAGGGAGGAGGAAGTTTGGGTGAGATATAAGCAACTATTGGCAGAAAGGTGGGCTG